TGAAAGAAAAAGGACGTGCTTTGTCAGTTGAACAATTTCATGCTGCAGATAATGTGTAGGGATCCATCTCCTAGGATCATAACAGCATTGTTCATAAAAGCAAAAAGAAAATTAAGAGTAATCTAACAGTAGAGTAAGGGTTATGGTTCATGCTGATGGACTACTAGTTTATATTTATAAATAAGGATATGTAATAATGTCTACTTTTAAATCAACTTCATTGAGCCTTAATTTAAATATAGTTAAATGCACACTTTTTAATTGTAGAGTTTTGAATTTGGGCAGAAGTAGAGACCCATTCAGACTTTTTTCTGTCTCATTTAAAAAAAAAAGATTTTATTTTTAGAGAGAGTGAAGGGAGGGAGAAAAAGGGACAGAAACATCGATCCGTTGCCTCTTGAATGTGCGCTAACCAGTTACCCAACCTGCAGCCCAGGCATGTGCCCAAATGGGGATCTGAACTGGTGTCCATTCTCTTCGCAGGATAGCATCCAACCAACCAAGCCACATTGGTCAGGGCTCGGTCTCATTTATTTTGCTCAGTGTGTTTTTGAGATTCATCCATGTTGTTGGTAGTTTGGTCCTTTTTATTGCTGAGTAATATTCCATTGTATGAATATGCCAGTTTGTTTAAGTGTTCTCCTCTAGTTGATAGACATTTAGCTGTTTTCAGTTTGGGGCTATTATGACTAAAGCTTCACCGAACATTCAACTACAGTTGTTTGTATGGTCATCTTTTAATTTTTCTGGGGTAAATACCTAGGAGTGGAATTGTGGGTTCATATAGTAAATGTATGTTTAACATTGTAAGAAACTGCCGGGTTGTTTTTGCTTTATGCTTCTATCAGCAATGTATGAGAATTCAGTTCTTCAACACTCCTAGCAAAACTTGGCTTTGTCATTCTTTTCTATTTGAATTGTTCTTGTGGGTATGTAGCACTATGTCATAATCTATAAAATTGAAAGGTATATCTTACTGTTTTCAGTTATAGGAATGCATTGTTTATTTTTTACAGGCTGCTTCTGAGGGACTAATTACCCTAGTTACTTTCTTGAATGTCATAGGGTGTCAAAATAATATTCTGCTTACCACCTAGCATGGCTCCTTCTTGTGGTACATATATATGATGATTGGCTCTGTCATGTTTCCATCCATGTCTAGTTTCATTATGTATAGCTTCGTTTACAAGCACTACACAGAAATAGATCCTGACAATTTAGCTTTTTCCTGCTTCTGGGAGTGTTTATATTGGCTTTGCAATTTCCTCAGCTGGCTAAATTTAGTTGACTAAAAGTCTGCTTTAAAAGTCACTCCCATTAGCCAGCTAAAATCTTTTCCAAATGGGCCAAATTTTGGTCTTATGTAAAAAATTAGGAGAATTTTATTAAGATTGTCCAATGTATCTTTACAGTGCCAAAGACACAGTAAATTGAGTATCACTTAGTTGCCTAAGTAAGTAAAATTTTGTTGAATTGTTGGAGTTTTTTGGTAGCCTCCCTCTTCCCCACATTTTATTATAAAAAATTTCAAATATACAGGGAACTTGAAGGAATTGCACGAGGAATATTTGCATACCTGTCACCTATTGTGTAATTAACATTTGCTGTATTTAATCATATATCTGTTGAAAAAATTTTGATAGTGTGTTTAAGCTCTTGCCTTTCCTTGTGGAAGAAGCCTATATGGGTAGAATTTACTGGACCATAGATACTTTTGTGTGGTATAGGACTTGGTGGTTCTCTGGTGCAGTGGTCATCTTATGATCCCCATTATCATTAGTTGAGAGCTCAATGATTTATTTTCAAATGAATTCCAACTAGATCATGTTGCAAAGACAGAAGAGAGGCAAGGGGAGTTGGTGGTTGATATTATCAGGAGGCCTGAATACCACTAACTTACTTGCATAACTGATACAAATCCTGTTATGTGAAAATTACTATTTATTGAGTGGTTACCATGTTCTCTAGAGCTTTATTGTATCTTAGTTCTCACAACTTTGATAGCTATAGATATTATTAGCCCTATTTTATAGGTTAGGAAGTCAAGGCTTAGTGAGATTGAATAATGTCTTATGTGTATTGAAACCCAAATCTCTCTGACTCCAGAATCCATGCTTTGAACCGTAAGTCTGTGCTGCTGAAAATTCCTTTTACTGCAGAATATCTGTTGGATAGTTTGCTTTCACTTATGTCTTCAGAATTGTCCAAATTGGGCCATATTAGGTTTGAGCCTGGTATAGTAGCATTCTTGTGGAAAAAGGGGGCAATCATATAAACATTTTCATGACTGTAAAGGCCTCTTAATTCTTGGGGATTTTTACTGACTTCATTTTGTTCTCTGAAGAATGAAGGAATTTCCAGCTTTGTATATTAAATCGTGGAATGTAAAGCATTCCTTCTGTAGTTGAATCAACTAAATACTAGCAAGTGTGTTTAGAAGTTTAGAATGTGACAGTGGTAGTTCTCCTGTCTTTTTTTTTTTTTTTTAAAGAGGTTTTAGGAATGATAGCCAATTTGAAGCTTGGTCTTCCTAATACAGAAGTGAAACCTAAATAAGCTCCCTTACTCCCTGGCTGCTCTTGGAGTAAGCTTCGCTTAAGTTTCTCTGATGATTTTTGGGGCTTTTTTCTGGGAGTGACCCAAGGAGTCATGTATTCTAATTTGAAAACTGAATGAGTGGAGGTGCATTGGAAGCAGTAGTTCTTAACCTTCCTGGAGATTACATGTTCCTTTTTGAAGATGATGAAAACTGTGATCCTCTCCCCAGGGAAAAAATACATCTGTGCATAGAAGTGCAATTTTACATACAGATTTTGTAGGTGTTCACTGACGTCCAACCCTATCAATAGAGTAGCCCAGATTAAAAGTCTTTTAATAGAAAAAAAATAAGGGAGCCTAAAAATAAGATTTGAGCATCAGTTCTTAAACTTTTTTTTTATAAATATGCATCTCATAAAATTGTATTAACATAAAATACATCTCAAAGTTCCATCTCAAAGTGTTAGTGTTCCCACTTTGTTTAAAAAAAAAAAATTAACAAGAGCATTGTGAGCTTGATAAGATTCCTAGGGATAGATGAAATTCTCTGTGATGATTTCCAACTTTTGCTTTTTCAATTTTATTTCTTCCACTAGCAAAACATTTTATCAGAACTACTACCAAGGCCAAAGAATTAGATGAAATCTTTTGACGATCCCAACTTTAGGTTTCCACCCTTGATCTAAAATGTCTTCATAATGAGCTGGTGATACATAGTACTTCTTTCCTTTTTGTACCTTCTGATGTGAGTGTTCAGGCAAGTTAGGTTTTATTTTACGTTAATCCTCACAACAACCTTGCTAGTGACTTACTGTTGTCCCCATTTTACATATGTGGAAAGCAACACTAAAAAATGGTTAAATAGCTTGATTAAGACTGATTCTCATTAAAAGGCAGAGTCAGGATTTGGACCTATGTAAACGTATCTCCAAAGCCTCTTTTTTCCCTTTTTTAATTATCCTGCTCTGTGATCAGAGTTCACCATTTTTACTTGGTCACTAGTCTGATCTGATCCAAATTTTGAAAGCCCCAGTTTCCATCACTGGAAGGAGCTCTTTTATTTTCTTCTAGAGCTAACCAGTTGTAAAATTACTGATGTAAGTGTGTGTACTAGTTACTTAGGTTGTGAAATGTCAACAGTGCTGAATTTAACAGCTAGATTGTTAAACCCAAAATAAGGAAGGGAGCTAGCTGGGGAATTTCTTGCCTGTTCTGTTTATCTAAATGGATGTTCCAGATACCAGACTCTGACTGAGACAATTCCAGTGATTGAAAAGTTTGTAGAAGACTTATTACTAAACTTAGCATCATTTTGAGGAAGGAAGTACTCTAATGGTTTGGAACAGGAGTGAAAAAGAGTTTAAAGAATAGAAAAGATTTTATCAAATTGACTAAAGGCCAGGTATGTATTTCTAAACTCTCTTGGGACAGCCGTGGAGGGAACCTCTGGGTCAGCTAGCTGACTAATCATTTTTGCTGAGGCAGCAAGCTGGGTCAGCATTCTGGGAAGGTAGTTGGGTTTACTGAGTGAGTTTTGTTAGACTCAGCATCTTTCTTGACAAAATTATTGTTCTTTCAAACCTCATACTTTTCCTAGTTTCAGCCTTTTATACACAATGAAACAGAAAGGAGAATAAGTAGGTTGATTTACTATTAGCCTTAATGTGTATTTTTTAGTGTAAACTAAAAACACAGGGCTTTATGTGAGATAGCACAGAGCAAAAAACAGAATTCTAAAAGATTAATAAAAGTGATTTGGAGAACAAAGAAAGTTGGGTCAGATAATGAAATTTTACAGAGGTTATCTCCTTGCCTTTAAAAAAACTGATTGATAGAAGAAACTAGTGTGTATGAAAATATATACCAATTAAGCCTCAACATAATGCAACTTGTCATAAAGGAAAATTAAATTGACTAATGTGAAGATATGTGAGAAATCAGATATAAATCTAAAAGAATTATCTTAAGTCATATTTTTTGAGTCTTTACAAATTAAGGGAATGCATTTTGTGGAAAATTTGTTTTGACAGAGTCTTTTTTTAAATCTCCAGGACATTTAAAAAGGACAAAGTACAGTTCAAATGGCAGGATTATTAAAAACCACTTTGCATCATACACATGATTATTTGGGATAAGGGAATTGATATTCGGCTTAAAAGCTTTGTTTCCTCCTCAGCTTCACCCTCCTTCCTCTGTTTTCTTGAAGCTGTGTGTGGGATTCTAGCATAGAGGAAGGGTGGGTCCTCTCACCTGTTTCCATCCCCCCCCACCCCCCGCGATAAGTTCATAAACACTTTTTTATGTGATGTTTAAGAACATAAGCAGCTCTTCTGGAACCAGATTAATCTTTTGATTTTATGGTTCATTCTACATAACACTGGAGTTGGGGCAGGAGGGTGGAAATACAAGGTGTTTGGACCCTTCTGGTTTATGGGATTGTCTTTTTCCCTTTTTCCCCTTAGGAACGGCGTGAATGTTGAGGGGGCGACACACAAGCAGGTGGTGGACCTGATCCGAGCAGGAGAGAAGGAATTGATCTTGACTGTGTTATCTGTACCTCCTCATGAGGCAGATAACCTAGATCCCAGTGACGACTCGTTGGGACAATCATTTTATGATTACACAGAAAAGCAAGCAGTGCCCATATCGGTCCCCACATACAAACATGTGGAGCAGAATGGTGAGAAGTTTGTGGTGAGTGTCAGCCCAATTTGACCCTCAAACATCTAGCTTTTTTTCCTCCACTATTATCATTTATGATATATAATAGAGCACCAGAATAAATGAGTACAACATAGATCAGTTTGCCTACCAGAAAGATGGGTTTACACATAAATAAAAGACACTGAACCTGATTTATTGCAGGGGGTGAGCTGCAGTAATGAAGAGTTCTATTCAACTTAAGCATAATTCCATATTATTCCAGATGGTTTTAAGTTTTGTTTGTTCTTTTATTGGTTGCTATATCTCTCACTGTTGACTCTATAAAGCTATAGAGTAAGGTTATTTTCAAAAGGTGGTGTCTTCTGAAACATGTAATATACAGTTTGTCCACTTCAGAACTTACAAATGCCCTATTGTCCTCTCCACACCTTGTTCATTTTCTTTGGAGATACCTGTGTGAATGATTAACTCTAACTCTGGTTTTCCCCAAGATCCTAATTATATTTTAAGTGCAATTCATGTGAACTGTTTTATCCATTTCCACTCTGTTGCTGTTGTAGATACAGAAGAGCCCACCTCAAATTCTGGGTGATATGTGCCAGCCCTTTTTCTGAATGTCTTTGTTCTTCAAAACTTAATTGCCACTGGTAGTCCAGTCTGTCTAATTTTTCTCTTGGTTGCATTATGCTTTATTTGCCTTTGTAAAAAATGCAATGAGTTCTGATTGATATTGGCAAACAGACTACCTGTGTTTAAAGCTGACCTGCTGATTAAAGTTGTAGTCTCTGACGCTGATATTTGTGCCCTATATAGGAATGAGCCACTACATATTTATGGTAATTTTTTTTTTTTAGTGGGGAGATGAGAAAAGCAAGCAAGGAAGCCAGAAAGTTCCTGAAGGATCAAATAACGTTTGATTGTATCTGTAATTTAGCTGGAGATGAATAGCACATAGGTTTTGTGTTAGCCTGACGTGCAGATACTCAGAAACATACACACAAAATTTAGAGTTTTGTGTTTCAGAGATGTTATAGTTTGAATCATAAGGCATGTAATAAGTAGAAATCAAGGCCAGGTCCTAAGATAGAGCAGATGGGATGTTAAGACCCTTGAGGAAATTACCTAAGACTTTGGGAATCACTGTAGACTTCAGAAAAGGAATGAAATTATTAATTTTTTATAAAATCAACTTTATGGGGCATAATTTGCCTGCATTAACATTAACCCATGTTAAATGTCAAGTTTCATGAGTTTTGATAAATGTACATAGTTCTAGGACAGTTTCATTACCCCAGAAAGTCTCCTCATGTCCCTTTGCAGCAAGTCCTCTCCACCTACCACCACTCCTGTCAGCCACGATCACCTTTCTGTCATCATATTTTGCCTTTTCTGGAATGTCAAATAAATGACCATATGAAGTCTTTTGTGTCTGGCTTTGTTCACTTAGTGTAGTCCTTTTAAGATTAATTCATGTCGTTGTATGTATTAATAGTTTATTTCTTTTTAATTGCTGATAGTATTCCATTGGATGGATATACTATAATTGATCCATGCATTTGATATATGTTTGGGTTGCTTCCGGTTTGGGGCTATTATAACTAAAGCATCCATAAAATAACATTAACGTACAAGTATTTATGTAAACATACGGTTTTTATTTCTCTTGAGAACATACATACCTAGAAATAGAATTGCAAGGTCATGTGGTAAGTGTAGATTGAACTTATAAGAAATTGTCAGTTTTCCAAAGAAGCTGTACCATTTTTGTATTCTCATCTGCAGGGGAGAGTTCCAGTTGCTCCATAACTTCTTGAACACTTGGTATTTTCATTTAAAAAAAAAATTTTAGCCATTCTAGTGAGTATCTCACTCTGGTTTTAATTTGCTTTTGCCTAGTGACTCATGATGATGAGTTTATTTTCATGTGCTTTATAGCCATTCTTGTATCTCCTGTGATGAAGTATCTGTTCAGCTGTTTTGCCCAATTGAAAAGTGGAGTTGTTTGTCTTAATATTTCCTTGTAAAAGTTCTTCATGTATTTTAGATTTAAGCCTTTTATTAGGTAGATGATTTGTAAAATATTTCAGTCTGTGGCTTGCCTTTTAATTTTATTTTTAACAGTGTCTTTCAAAGAACACAGGTTTTAAATTTTGTCAGTTTGTCCACTTGGTAAGTTTTTTTCATTTATGGATAATGCTTTTTGTGTTCTAAGAAATGTGTCTAACCCAAGGGAACAAATCTTTTGTTTTCTTGTAGAGGTTTTATAGTTTTAGCTCTCTGTTTTTGTAATAACTTTATTGAGATATGAATCACATGCCATAAATCTGCCCATTTTAATTGTACAGTTCGATGGTTCTTAGTATGTTCACAGAGTTGTGTGACCATTACCACAGTCAATTTTAGAACATTTTATCATCTCAGAAAGAAACTCCGTACCATTTAGCCATTATCCTCCATACATCCTGCTCCTACCAGCCCTAGGTAACTTGCTCATCTGCTTTCTTTCTCTATAGATTTGCCTCTCATGGACATTTCATATAGATGAAATCATATGTGTTTTCAAGGTTTAGCCACGTTGTAGCTTGTTTCAGCCAAATAACCTTCCATTGTATTGGTACACCACATGTGATTTATCTGTCCTTCAGTGACTGGAACATATCACCCAGAATTCGAGATGAGCTTTTGGGTTGTCTGCTTTTTGGCTATTAGGAATAATGGTACTATGAGCTTATATGTAGATGTATTTGTGTGGATAATGTTTTAATTTTTGCAAATACATATTTAGGAGTAGAATTGCTGGGTCATATAGTAAATCTTATGTTTAATCTTTTGAAAAAATGGTAGATGCTTTTCCAAAGTGGCTGCATTGTATTTTTCACTGTTATGTTTAGATTTGTGATCCATTTTGAGTTAATATCTGTATATCATATGATATAAGGGTTGAGGTTTTTTTTTCCCAATGTGGACATTTAGTTGTTTCAGCAGCTTACATTGAAAAGAATATCCTTTCCCCATTGAAATACCTTGTCATCACTGTTGAAAATCAGTTGAACATATATATGTGCTTTTATTTTTGTACTCTATTCTGTTCCATTGATTGTATGTCTGAACATTTCAGTATTTACATCTTTTTGAGATTGACCTTTGTTTAGTGTCTTTTCCCATGAAAAGGGGGAGTATCTTCCTGGTTCTTTGTATAATGAGTAATTTTGAATGGTATCCTGGATATTGTGAATGTTATAGTGCATAGATAGATTCTGGGTTCTGTGATAGTCCTGTGAAGAATGTTGATGTTTTAGTTTTGTCTGGCAATTAACTGTAAGCTGTTCCACCTTCAAGTCTCAGTTCACTTCTTTCAGCCTTTGCTGTGCTACTTTGAGACTGTCCTGTGTATATATCATTCAGGGAGGGAGCAGCCCAAGATGCATGGTAATTCACATAATTAACGAATTCTCTTCTTTGGTTCTCTTTCCTCTTGAGTTCTCCACTCATTCTGGTGGCAACCATGATTCCCCAGAATCCTTCCTGTTTTCCTCTAGCCAGAAAGATGTCAAGTTTCTATCAGAGTTTTTGTTGCCTAAGTTAGGCTACTTTGTGACTGATGCTCACTAGCAGGGCAAAACCCCTTAAAAGCAGGAGACTCCTGGAATGCTCCATGTTTTGAATCCCCTCTCCATCTTCTTGCTTTTAGTTTACTGTTAGAATCCTTAATTGGTAATTAATTGGTTTTATTTTGTCCAGACCTTGTCATTGTTATCACTGGGAAGGTTAGTCTATAGGGAGTTTCTACAATAAAACTTGAATAAAATCTTTGGTTCTATCAGTTTTTCTTTATGTATAAGAAAGCTATTACTTCTTGATGAATTACCTCCTTTAACATTATGAAATATCTCTTTATCCCTTGTAATATTCTTTGTTTTGAAGTCTTTGTCTGATATTAACATACAGCCACTTCAGCTTTCTTTCTTTTTTTTTTTTTAAGATTTTATTTATTTAATTTTTAGAGAGATGGGAACGGAAGGAGAAAGAAAGGGAGAGAAACTTTGATGTGTGAGAGGTACATCGACTGGTTTCCTCGCACATGACCCCAACTAGGGACCTGGCCCACAACCCAGGCATGTGCCCTGACTAGGAATAAAGTCCGCGATCCTTTGGTTTGCAGGCTGGCACTCAATCCACTGAGTCACACCAGCCAGGGGTGATCAATACCTTTATCGTGCCATAGGCTTTAAATCCTTCTAACAGTAGGCTACCTTGTATTGTACTTGGGGTTGGAGGGGTTTTCTTAGTGATCTGTTCTCCCCTCCCTCTCAGCTTTTAGCCACCCTGCATGCCTGAACCCTAGAAAAGTTCTCTCTCCACACTCTGGCCCCTACCCCACTAGTAGACTGCTCTTGCTTTTTACTTGGGTTAGATTTACTTGGGCTAGATTTGTATAGAGGAAGATTGGTTCTGTTTCCTGATTCAGACTAAGTCTTAGGCAGGGCCTGTGTTCTTGTGTCATAGGGTGAGGCTTTCTTAGTTTTCTGTACGTTTCTCCTTATCACTGCCAGTCAGCCCTTTATCTTTGGTTAGTCTTGAGAAAGAGTTTCTTGTCTGTCCCCAGGCTATAGCATTTCTTTGCTACAGGATCAGGATAGGAACCTGGGCCTAAGACACAGAGCGGAGCAAAAGTAAGTTTACAATTATGAGTACACAAAACACAGAGTTTATTCTTGTGTTATTACCTATCAATTATTGTGTTATTTTCTATATGAACAGCTATAAATTCACTTTCCCCTTACCCTGTGCTTTCTAGACTCTCCCCAGGAGTAGGAGGTTTTGCTTTTACTCATATCTTGACCCCCCAAAATTATTTTTAAATTACAGTTGGCATCCACTATTATTTTATATTAGTCTCAGGTATACAACATAGTAGTTAGATAACTAAATAATTTATCTAGTGATTTCCCCAGTAATTCTAGTATCCACCTATCACCATAAATAATTATTACAACATTATTGACCATATCTGTATGCTATACTTTAAT